GGGGTGGGAGGTCAGCGCCACGACCCGCGCACCCGCAGCCGAACGTGAGAGATACTTCAGCAGGGCATGAAGCAAAAGAGCGCACTCTGGCAGCTGCGGTTATGCAAACCCAGGGCGCAACACTGTCGTCGAACACATACTTCACACTTCCACGTACTAGTATATATATTCCGACCTCCGACTGAATGAATGGACACGTTTTGTAAGCGAGTTTTACACGATAAAATTATATATATATATATATATTACGACTGAATGGACACGTTTTGTAAGCGAGTTTTACACGATAAAATCAACGCGACGGCCAAATATAACAAACGTGAGGCTGCGCCGCGCGCGACATGTCGCCGGTCAGACACGACCGGCCAGTCCCCCCCTCCCCACCCCAACCCCTTTCCCTCGCTCATTTGTAACGACTTGATCAACATAAACACATGCACGGCACGCGCGAGCCCCCCGCTGCTGCCCCCTCCCACCTGTCCGGCCACCGGGGCCCCACTGTGCGGCTCAGGTGTCTCCTGACCGTGTACGCTCCACGGCCGCCGCCCGCCGCCCCCTCGGGGGCTCGCTGACCCGAGCGTAATAAAGTAAACGAAAAAGGTCCTCCGCATACATTCTAAATTGACTCGCGCAGCAGTCCCCGTCAATCAGCGACGACAAATGATTTTTTTTTTCCGTTTCCTCAAGAGCCGGTAAGTGATGATCAGGAGGACTCCGGGAGAGTCTCGCGCCGAGATTTGGTGCAAAGCGGCTCACAAGCGCGCAGAAAAACGGATCCACGTCGACGAGGGCCATGTCATTGACGAAAGCCTCCGACGGGTGTTGGAATTTTACTTCAATTTTTTTTCATCCGTACTCTTTTTGGTGTTTTTTTTTTCGTCTCCCCTTGGTCCGCTCTAGGAATGGGACTCATCAGAGTTGATTCGTTTTGTTAATCCAGCGAGAGAGAAAAGGGGGGAGAACAGCGCGCGAGCAGACCGACCGGGCCGGGCCGGCCGAGTAATGTGACAAATGAAAACAGCTCTCTTAACAAGAGAGTTAATTCGATTTCAGTGCGCAGGGGAGAGGGGCAGGGGCAGCCTCCTCAGGGTGGCCCTCGTCGCGGGCGGCCCCCGCCGGGCTGACGGAGACCAGACGAGGCACGCGATGCGACCGCCGCCGCCAGGCCCTTGCAGGAGGACCAGCCCGCGACACAAACCGGCCGGGCCACTTACCAAAAGTGCAAAGAAGGCGCTCGGAGTCGCCAACTAGGTACGCTAAACATTCCCACGGACTGATACTTATTATTGGAGGTTATAATTGTCTCCGGGTAGGGAAGGCGGGCGCGGGCGCAGCCAACTCTACCATTTCGCGGGAATTTGTTGACCCCTTGGTTGGCAACAGTGGACGCGTCCTCGCCCGCGGCGGTCTCGAGCTGCCGCGCGAGGGGCGCCGCCGAGCGCGGGCCGGTGGTCGGGCGCGGTGGTCACCGGGAGGGAGGGTGGGCCGGCCAGGGGTGGCCGCCGGCCGCCGGCGCGCGGAGGCAGTGACGGTGCAGCAGCGGCCAGCACGCGAGAAGCGACTGGGCAAACGGGCAGCAAAGACATAAGCGCAGTGCTTGCCAATTTCTCACATGTTTGCCACATTGTGAGAGGAGCTAAAGGCCGCCAGAGGGCCGCGTCGGGGAGGCGGCGCCAACCCAGGGGCCGGGGCCGAGGAAATGAGGCTCGACGACACTGCGTGGGAGCGAAGGGCGGGGCGGAGGGGGAGGGCCGACGCCCCGCCGATTTGGGTGCAAATTGGCAGTTTGTCTGCGGAGTGGCGGGCGGCGCGGTAAGACGGGCGGAAAGAGGGGGCCGAGGAGCCACAGGAAGGAAAGGAGCGCGAGCGCAAGCAGGGATTGCCGACCGTTTGTCCGGGTGATGCGTCGTCATAAGGGTGGAGCAAGCGGGGAGGGGGGGGAGGGGGTGCTGAGGCTGCGGCCGCGTCGGCCTTGAATATCATCAGATCAGCACATCATCGCTATCTAGAGCTGCGGCCACGGCGCTGCTGGCAGGGAGCGCGGTTCAGGCTGAGGTTACAGAGCAGTGACAGCCATACGGCAGGGAGGATGGCGCCCCCTTCCCCTCTCCCCCGCCGCGCCCGTCCCCGCCCTAACGCTTTCACGGTCGATTTAACGGTGCGCTCGCCATCCCGGTGCTGCTTCATAATCGGCCAGGGGGCTTGCTTGCGCGGGCCCGCTGCTGCACGGCTACTCGTACAAGTGTTTCATCATGGCT